AAGAATTTGTACTGTATCAAGCTGATGATAGAAAAAATAAAATTAAAAAAAAAAAAAAAAAAAAAAAAACCTGGTTTAAAGTTATAGGTCACAGTTGCTCAAGAGACTTCCAAACATTGCAGGCTATTGCTGTTGCCCGAGGTTGCCTACTAGAGACAGAAGTTGAGTTCCTAGTGTTGAAGAAGCCACACATTTCAGACAAATCCTAGAGGGCTGGGGATGGAACTCACCTTAAAGCCTCTTCCCTGGGGACTAGCTTTCATGGTATCAGAAGGTGACATGTAACCTTCCAAAGGAGGGAGCCAAACAACTGTCCTACCCAGCCATGACATCTATGAATCACACCAATGATGTGTACTGCATGATAGCCTAGGGGTGCAAGAGTAGGACACATAATTAGGGTGTAACCAACAGCTTCTACTTGGATTAAGACCCTCTCAACAAGAGGGAAAATGTGCCTGGTACTGGAAACCTAGCCTGTTTCCCCAGGGCTAGTAAAGGCATGGATCCTGGAGGAGAACCTACAACCAGTACTTTACTGAATCAACATAACTCCTAGAGCATTGTAAATATTTACCCTAATTTCCAACAGGCAATGGGAGACAAGAGGAGGCAGTACAGATGCAGTGAAGTAGGGTGTAAATATAGTTCCTGATTCTTATCAAAACTCTGTTGGCATTATTTTCAGTAACAGAGACAAAAACACTAAAAAGTAGAGAATGTGCTAGAATACCAAAGCTCAAAAACTCTGAATACAATAAATAAACCTAGAGGTATTAATTTTCATCATTTTTTATAATACATTAAAACAATGAATGAAAATTATTTAATAATGGTATGAAAACATGATCTCTGATGTGAATATGGACAGCATCACTCACATACATAGTCAAATAAAACTTATTTGACTCCATTATCAATTCTTCTGAAGAAAGCCTTCTCATGACTACATTAGGATAATCCTGAGGAGATTTTTTTCTCAGTGGAAGTCTCCAGAATTATTTCTAGTGAAACAGAATGTGGCAAAACTGATTTCATGTTCCACTTCCACATTCACTTGATCCCCTTTCCACTCCTTCACCAATGTCTCCACCATACCTGGATCCTTAGCTACTGTCTCCTCTCTCCTTCCAGGCCACTTTGTTCTGCAGCACAGGTGAGCAGGTCTGGGTGATCATTTAGCCCTGCACATGGGAAACAGAATTTGAGGAATAACCTGAATGTCTAACATAGTACTGTGCTCAGGAGAAAAGAGAGAAGTAAATACAGAATTATACAAATGATTTCCCAACTCCTGCAGTGTCAGAACACTGAAAATATTTAGAAAGCATTTTAGTTATTGTAACTTGAATCCCACTTCCAATCAGAGCTCAATCAAAACTTAGTTGCAGAAATGGTACTGAATGATTGGGAAGAGAACATTGTACATTAGTGAGGTTCTGAATTGATCATGGATCAATAATAATGAAGCCTTACATTCCCAAAAAGACACACACGAGGAAGAGAGAACATTTCTCTCTTTTTTCCTTTGTGAAATTCACTTTATTCTGTGTGACTGAGACGCATTCACACACAACTCACATACTTGCAGATTAGTTTGTCAACAAATACTGAGAAGGAGAAAGGGAAAGAATAAGCAAACAATTCTCAGTCACAAAAAATTATACTGCTGCAATTTTCCTTTTTCTATTTTGTTAATGTTGTTGTTGTTTATGTTTTTTAAGACAGGGTTTCTTTGTGTATCAGCCTTAGCTGTCCTGGAACTAGCTCCTGATCCTAGACCAGGCGGGACTTTAACTCACAGAGATCCACTTGTCTCTTCGTCCCATGTGCTGGGATAGGAGTCATGTACCTCCACTGTCCAGGTGTACTGCTGTAATTCTGCAATGTCAGGGTGTAGAGTGTAGCTGGGGTTGGCTGAAGAAAGAGGGCACTCCAAGATGAAGTTTTAAGGTCTATGTGACATTAAGAAGGTCCAAACTTTGATGAACTGAATCCGGAACACCCATACAAAGGTGTATTTATTGAAAGTTACACAAAGTATTTCCTCAAACCAAGCTTCCTTATCTCATTTACATGTCTTACTAAAGGAAAGCATCACATGCCCCCATGACTTTAGTCCTTTATCCTTTGCAATACACAACAAAACAAAAGCCTGTGACATCTTGTGACTAAAGTCTTGGGATGGCTACAAAGCCCTTTCAGCAAAACAATTCTATAGATCACGGGATGCATTCACTGTTTCCACAAGGATTCTTCAAGGTCAAAGTACTTGCAAAAAAAATGGTTGTTCAATTTAATGTTTATCCAAGAAACAGTGACTCTGCTAAATTCCTACAACATAGTCCCAGCACAAAGCCCTCAGGGCAGGGTCCAAGCATTGCCACTCCACTTGGAAGTAGTCAAAAGCCACACCACTGGCTGTCAACAGACCACAAAATAAAAAAACAACAGTTTGAATCATCTTGTTGGTGCACACATTTAATCCTAGCACTTGCCGGAAACAGGTGAGTGGAACTCTGTGTTTTCCAATCTAGCCTGGTCTACATGATGAGTTTGGGGCCAGATAGAGCAACACTGTGAATTAAAGTCTCAAACACAGCAAACACCAGAACCATGGACAGAATGCTTTCTTGGACCAAGGAGAAAAAAAAAAAAAAAAACTATTGAAAACATTTCTTTGATATGGGTGAGTTATTATTATTATTATTATTATTATTTAAGGGATGCTTTTTATTATCATTCTGTACTATAATGCATTCATTATTATTTAAATTAATTAATTTATTTTCCATTTTCGAAACAGAGTTTTTCTCCGTAGTTCTGGCTGTCCTTGAAGTCACTATGTACACCTTAACAGCTTCCAACTGATTGTGATCCAGCTGCCTCTGCCTCCTGAGTGTTGGGATTAAAGGCCTGTTCCACCAGGCCTGGCAAAGACACTTTTCAGAATGCTGTATTTACATCACAGTGTGCACATGTCTCAGAAAAAAAATTAACGGTGGACAGAAATTTACTTTTAAAAGTTAATGTTTGCAAGTAAACTGTGATATATCTATTCAGATTCAGTGAAATTTGCAGGCGTTCCTTTCATGACTATAATCTAAAAGCCCTCAGAGAATCCAAGTCTCCAGGTAAATACGCCACTCTCTGGGAAGTGGCTTAACTTCCACTTCCCATGGTGGTGGGTATATAAAAGGGAAGCGGTATAACACGTAAGTTAGTATGGATGTTTGTAAATTTCAAGAGCTTTGTCATTTCCACCGTAGCAAAGACAATCGTGCTTGCAAATCTCAACAGATAAATTCAAATATTCGATGATTATTCTTACAAGAATGTTTTGGCAACCAGAAGATCAATTGAAAAAAAAAATCAGGCTTATTGCATATGACCTAAATACACCAAGGGAAAGACATCCACAGCAGAACTTCAGAGCCGGCTTCCTTATGAGCATCAGAGAAACTGCTCGCACCCCTGGTGCCTCCCCTCCCGTGTCCCAGCCCCGCAGCTCCTCTGACCTGGGAGGTTCCAGGGCCGCCGGGCTGCGGTTCCCGCCACTGCGCTGCTGACTGGTGACTTTCCCAGGCCGCCCCGCGCGGAGACTGCGGCTCCGGGGAGGTTTCGCGTCCCCGCGACCCCCCGCCGTGTCCTCCGCTCCCAGGTCTGCACCACGGGACCCTCCACCGTGCAGGCCCTGAGCAATGACAGGGAACCGGCAATTTCACTGCTGACCTCGGTTACTCTCCGACTTCCCCGCGCTCACTTTGTGCCCTAGCTTCCGTTTACGTCACCTCTTTAACCCCGCCCACGTTCCACTCTTCTCTACTCCCAGCCAATGCTCCACATCCTCCCAGCGGCTGTTTCCGGGTGAGTGTCCCCGCCCTTCTAGACCCGTCCCTCCCACCCGGTCTCAGGCTGCCTTCCACACAGCTCCAGCTGTCAGGCTGCCCTGCACCCGCTCTGCACAGCCTTCCCACATGCTCGCTGCCAACCTGGACCAGAACTGCGTCTAGGAGGACGCCGCACCCCGGTATCTGACCCCCACAGTGAGTTCTGAACCCTTCAGATAAAACACAGACAGCCTAACCTCAACTCGATTACTTGACTTCTGGGCTACAACTTACACCAAACAGATACCAACGTCCCATAGCTAACAAGTAAAAACAAAATTCTGCAATTGTGCCTTGGGGAGAGACGTTTCAGGAACTTTGAATATGAATAGAAATGGTGTCTCCAGAAGTCAGTGGACTGAGTTCACGCCTAGCTGTAACAGCTGTCACCACTAGACGGTGGTCTTGTTATTTTACTAACTCAGACAAGTTCTTTTTAGACTAATGCTAAAGGTACATTTACATAAACTATAGGGGAAAATTTTAAATGCAGTGGTGAATGCAGAGACCTTTGCTGTCCCAGATGCAGAAAATGAGTAAGATATGCAGTTCCAGCCCTAAAAACATCAGTTACAGCATCCCTTATATGGCTCTGGGAACACTGAGGAAGAGGAAGAGAAAAGAGAATAAGGGAGAGAGAAGGAAGGGCTAAGACATGCTGTTCTCTAGACTCCATACAGCTGTTGTAATCAGTAACCAACAGCAGCTGTACTGACCTGCATGGACCTCACACTAGACCCTAATCAGTCTAGGAAAGGAAAAGGCTCACAGGGCCCACCCTTTACCTCTCAAATGTTGGCTATGGATGGATTGTAGGATATGCCCTGGATTGTAGTCCTCTGCTGAGCCCACCAGGCTCCAACACATAGCTCCAAACCCACAGTCTCACATTGGCCCTGGTTAATCTCAGTGGGTCCCAAGCAAAATGAATGGAGATAAACACAACAGAGATTTGTTGGAATTGTGAACCAGGATAATAGAGAGGTAGGAAGTGAGAATGGACAGTATTTGAAGCACACTCACACATACACCCATCTGCATCATATGTGTATTTGTGTGTATGTGTGAGAAATGAGAGACAATAATAAAAATTTTGTAAATGAGCAAGTCGGTCTTTAATTTCTCTTAGGTTGTATCAGTACCTAGTTTAATATCAGGAAATCTTTTGATAAAATCCTGTCAATCAGGTCATTGGGTTGCATGGGGGGGGCATTTTATTACTGCTTCAGTCTCAGGGCTACTTGTGTTTACATATTTATTTCATGATATTTAAATTTAATATAGTAAGTGCATCTGGAAACTCATATATGTTTCAATTAGAGATTCCAATTCAGTAGAATAGAGGTCTTTAATATCAGTTGTGGGAGCTCGTTTTCAGGTTCTCCATGACTTTACCCAGCATGTCCGCATAGAGGATGATTAGGACCACGAGCCGGAGTGCAGGTGTCTGAGATGGTGTGCACTTGGCTGTGCTGGAAGAGGAGGTCTTTTGTTCCACCCCTTGGCATCTCTATAAATACCCTGGGGCAGAGACAGTCAGGGCCCGTTGGAATAGGTTCCAGGCCCTCTTGATGCTATCCTGTATTTTCTATCTGTTTATCTCCACAATCTAAATCCTTCTATCTAATATTTCCTGCTGCTTGCACTCAAGAAAACTCTGGTGAACTGTGGGATTGGGGGGTAAATGCCCCACAGAAAGGCGCCATGAACAGGAACTAAAGGAAAAAAAAGGACTAAAGACAAAAAAGGGGGGACTAAAGACAAATGAACAGGGACTAAAGTCAAGGTAATAGGGACTAAAGATAAAGGAAAATAATGGTTTTATTACAGAGTTTTTGGTGAAAGTGTGAGTCAGCCCTGCCACTGAAAAGGGGGCATGCCCGGTGTTATGGAAAATACACACACACACACACACACACACACACACACATATATATATGTATATATATATATATATATATATATATATATATATATATGTATGTATGTATATTTTTGAGGGGCAGGGGTTTTATCCTCGAGGGAAAAGGGAAAACGGACTGGAACAATGTCCTATCCTACAGCACAAAATTATCTTCTGTCAAAATGTTCTATCTTCTATCTCTTTCTCAATTTCTATCTGTGAAAAATAAGTATAAGGCATAGTGTAGTAATATAGTGTAGGAAAAACTTAGAAATGTAAGATCGTGTAGAAAAAATTTAAGATAACTAAAAGCAACTAGACAGATAAACTCTTCAATTTTCTGACTTTGGGGGCTATGAACACAAACTGGGAGAAAAATCTTTCTTTGAGCTTTATGGGTAGTAAAAAAGCTCTTCTTTGAGCTTATGGTGAAGAAAAAAGTTTCCTATGGAAGCTTTTGGCCTAGGAACAGCTGAAATGCTAAGTCCAAGCAGCAGGAGAAAGTGTTTTCTCCCTGAGGCAAAAATGGCAGAGTAAAAAGCCAAAAAGTTTAAAGTTCAGAAGTTTTGGGAAATGTTGGTCTTTCTCTCTTGGAAAAAAAAAAAAAAATCTTTCTCTTAAACTAAAAGCTTTTCTTGGAAAATTTGGGGGGGGGGGACTCTCTTAAAAGCCTTAATCTTTTTTTTCTCAAACGAAAAGCTCTCTTAAACTTAAAAACTAAAGCCTTCAGAACTCTCTCTTGGGCTGGAGAGATGGCTCAGAGATTAAGAGCACTGCTTGTTCTTCCGAAGGTCCTGAGTTCAATTCCCAGCAACCAACCACATGGTGGCTCACAACCATCTGTAGTGAGATCTGGTGCCCTCTTTTGGCCTGCAGGGGTGTATGCAGACAGAACACTGTATACATAATAAATAAATAAATCTTTATTAAAAAAAAGAACTCTCTCTTTCTCAGAAGGACAAAAATTAGAATCACCTAAAGATATTAGTGTGATACCTCAGTAAAACCCCCCACTCTATCCCCTACAGACAAAGAGAAGCTTAAACCAGGATTCCTAAGTGTAGATAAGAACTTAGACCCCTTTTCCCCAGGTGGCTGTATCTGCCTCTTTGAGAAAAGCTTTGTTTCAACTGATTCCCAGTGAGATGAGGGAATGTAGCCCTTAGGGGTGATTGCCTCTGGCATAAGCTCTGTCCTTGAGCACCCAGACAAACATAACCCACTGGGGGACTGGGTCAGGTGAAGGCCTGATGAGGCAAAACACCTGTTGTAATGCCAGCTTAGAGATGGCAAAAGCATCCTTGTTAAAAAAGCAGAAGCTTGGTTTTCAGTCTGTATGCAAACCATACAGTCCCTGAAAACAGAAGGACTAAAAGCTTCTACCTTCAGTAACTGTTCCTGGGGCAGAAGGAGTAAATTTAGACCAAACTGGGAACTGTCTGGGAGAAGGACTGAAGAAACAGAAAAGGGACATAATCCTCCCCAGAAAATGCATTACCTGAAAAAGCTGTTAGAATTTGAGGCATATTTGGGGGGAGAAAAAAAAGCCCCTATCTGTTGGTTATGCCATGGCGCTGCCCCTCCTGGCTGGTCGCCGCTCGCAGCATGCTGATTAAAAGAATCATAGCCATGGTTAACTTTTTAGAGTTTTAATGGCGCAGGGGGTTGGGGGGGGGGACAGAGACAGAGAGCCCACAGAGGGCTCACCCTCTTTTTAGGCTGGGAAGCCATCGAAGGCTGATGACGTAATTAAGGATCAAATCCTTACACTATCTCCAAAGGCGACTAGTAGAGGAACACAGTAGCCCAAAATATCTGAAGCTCTGCATGGGGGCGGGGGGGGGCACAAGCAAAATGAGATAAAGATCAGTGGGAGAAAATCTCTGAAGGAGCTATGGAAAAGCTCTGTTGTAAATATATTTGTGTTTCACTGACTGGCTAAGGCAAACACAAGCCCCGAGGAAAGTTGCTATCAGAAATGCCAGCCTCAATGCACACTAACGAGGCAGGTGTGGTTCTGATCCAGGGCCAGTGTCTGATGAAGGAGAGACACCTGTTAAAGCCAGCTGAGGAGAAAATAGAAATCTCTCAATGTGCCATATTTGAAAACTTAAAACTCTTGGTTCAAATCTCTTGTTACAAAAGCAAAAACTTCTAAAGCAAGTCTGGTAAAAGAGAACTGGAGGTTGACTCCCAGACCCAAAAAGAACTATAGAAAATGGAGTCCATAAGCTCACTCGTAACAGTGACCTGATGAAGAGAAGTGAATTCTGGGAAATGTAGTATTTCAGCTAAAGACGGCGGTACTGTCCAAAAACTTTTCAGCTCAGAATGAAGTTTCTTCTCAAAGCAATGCTAGAAAGCTTAATCTTACCTCTTGAGAGCTCAGATCAGACAAAAAGCTATAAGAGCAAACAAGCCACTTTAAAATCCTTGAGAAAGCATGAGAAAGCAGTTTACACACTGAACGTTGTCTTAGATTTGAAGAAACTTATGTGAAATTAAAAGTTCTTTGCCATTTGAACAAACAACCTGCAATGAATGATTCTTTTCCAAATCTAATAAGGAGACAAGGAAACAGACATCCAAAAATAAATGACTGCTTTATAGATGGGAAACAAACTTCAGAAAATCTGTCTTAAAAAGTAGTTGCTTCACCTGAAAGTTCCTTATAAAAAAATCAATGCCAAATATTACAGCTGCTAACAACAATAACATCAAGGATTAAAGCTAATGAAGTGAAACACTAAATCCTGAAAATGCTTTTTCTCAAAGTAAGCTAATGAAGGATATATTTCATGAAAGAACATCTATGTTCTTGGCTCCTTTGAATGGTAACAGTTTTGGTGAAAATATTGGAACTAACAACAATCAAGTCAAGATGTTTCAACAAATTCAAGACGCTATTCACAAAAGAAAACTGCCATGATTTGCGGGCAATATTAGAGCTCACTCCAATCTTCCTGGTCCTTTAGCTGAGGGTAATGCCATGGCTGGTAAGTTAACCAAGATAGTAGCATTATCCCAAGTGGAAATGGTTCAACAGTCACATGCTCTTCATCAAAACAGCAAAAGTTTAAGAAAGCAATTCAATCTTACCAAAGAAGCAGTTCATCAAATAGTTAAACGATGTGGGGTATGTCCAAAATATTTTCCTATCCCTCACTTAGGGGTAAACCCTCGAGGTCTTCTTCCCAATCATCTATGGCAAATGGATGTTACTCATATTGTAGAATTTGGCAAATTAAAATAT